AGTCATGGTGTTTCATCACTGCAACAATAACTCTAAGGCAACCAGGTACGTCCAACATGTGGCCCAAGTGCTGGAATTACAGGCGTGAGCCACAAATCCTGGCTCATGAATTTCCTTTAAACATCATACCCACTAGCTGTAAGCACAGGACCACATTTCAGGTGTTTGCCTGGTTACTCTCTCCATCTTACCTCCAACATGTGTTTAAAGTACATTATTTCTGAACAGCATTTATTTAGGTAATTTTTTAGCATTGTAAACACCTTTGTGCTTTAACTGGGCTGTTTGTCTGTCAATTTTTACTTGCAGCTGACATCTTGACTAGGACTTTTCTATCTACCAGTTTTTCTTTTCCTTTTAATTCCTTTCTATTTTCTATTACATTTTCTTTATCCACATTTTTACTATTGCTTTATTTATATTTGATTTCCGTGGCCTCATAACTAAGTTTTTGCATCTTTCCTGGCAAAATTAAAACTTATTCACCTCCACTAAAACACAGATTTTTTATTATCCTAATGTCAAAGCCTTCACCTTTATTTTCCTTGCAAACTTTATTCCTTTTCCTTTCTATACATTAACTCTTCTAACAAAGACCAGTATGTCTATGTGAGTTTATTTGGTATCAAGATCACTGGTTATTTTCCCTCTAAACTCATTATTTAGTCCCTTAAAACTTAAGGTTTTAATTTATTTTTCACATGTGTGAAAGAGTATGAAACATGCATGCAAGAAGGAAGAGGATGTCAGAGGTTCTAAAGCTGGAGATACCAGGTAACTGAGCTGTGAGGTGTGGGTGCTGGTAACAAACTCTGGTTCTCTGTGCCAAGAGCACAGCCATGGCTACAGGGCCCCTCTTAAGTGTTCTCTACGGGCTGTTATTTTATAATCTCTAATTTTGTAGATTATTACTTGGACCTATTCTTAGGCATCATATTTGCAACTAATGGCTTGATTAAAAACTTCAACTTGCTGGGCTTGGTAAATGACTTTAATCCAAGCACTTAAGAGGCAGGTGGATCTGTGAGTTCCTGGCCACCTAGAGCTAGTGAGACCCTATTTTAAAAAAAAAAAAAAAAAAAAAAAAAAAAAAAAAAATCCCAACTTTTCTAGATTTTTTTTTAAGACAGAGCTTCCTATGTTGCTCTTGCTGGTTTAAAACTAGAGATCTTCCCAACTCAGCTTCCTGAGCACCGACGACAGGTATGTACCACCATACACACCAACTTTCATTTTCCTCTCTATCCTTCTGAGTTGAGTTTTGTAAAACAGACAACTACATCTAAAATTCTGCTAGGATTGTTATTTCACTTTTCCACTTTTCTCACTTTTGGAAATTATATTTGGGGGAGGGAAAGGGTGAGATGGCTCAGCAAGTAAAGATACCTGACATAAGCATGACAACCTGAGTCTGCTATCTGATAGCTACATGGTGAAAGAAGATACCTCCTTCAGTTGTCCTGACTTTCACAGGCACACCATGGTACATATGCAGTCATACAATGTAACTTTTCAAAATTATATTTTGTTCTTTTTTTCAAACCTCTGTGGCCTTTTCACACAATATATTGGCCTTAAAGTTGATTCATTCTTTTAAGGTTTTTAATCTTCAACATAAAAACATTTGCTCCAATCCTGTTTGTCATTTGACTCATTCGACAGCTGTTCCTAGAATTCAATTTTTTCCATTGGATTTTCAGAGTCTTTGTGATCTACGTTGTGAGAATTCTTCCAGTTTTTTATTTATTCATTTTAACCAGGAACCCAAACATGTTAACCAGCCCAGACTTTTGTATTAAGTTAAACTTTTTTAAGGCTTCCTAAACAAGTACTTAAAAGGAGGAGGTTCCAAGTTACAAATTCTAAGTTTTTACTCAGTGTCTAAGCTTCCTTGTTACTGCTTACACTAGGATTTTCCCCCTTTGTTCATTCCTTCACTGAAGGACACAGTCCTTCAAATCTATCATCTGTAAACCCAAGATTTATAAGGGTTTGTTTCTATTATCTGGCTAACAGTTCAAGATTTCATCACCTACCCTTAGGTAATAAAACCACCCTACACAAGACCTAAACTCTCTGTAGGATAACTACTAAACTATCTCAGACTGACACTAATTTTGATTTATTGACTAAATGCTTTGTATACATCTTTTTCCCTTAATGCAGGGGATCAAACCTTTAAGTTTTATGGATGCTAAGCATTAACTCCAGCCCAAATGCTTGTATTTTAATTGGTTTGTAAGTCTGCCCTGGGAAACATCTGAATTAGTTGAGTCAATTAAATTTCTAAGTGTAGTCTATAATGTTTAAAGGGTATAGTTAATTAATGATACTAGTTGCTTACAGGAGGGATTTATTCTGTTAAGTTTATTAACTTAAACATGCATTAAACACGCCATTTATACAAAAGTCAAAGTATTTTATACACACATCACAAAACATGTTAAGTTGTATATAACACTAAGAACTTAAAAGATCCTAAGGTAAGCCTCTAAATTTAAATCTTGAATTGAAACTACCAAGTCCTACAAAAATGTCATTGTGTTGTATGAATAATTACATTAAAAAACCAACAGTTTGTGCAAAGTGCAGCAAGCCTGTAACTACACTCAGGAGGCTGTTTAAGCATGATGAATTCAAGGCCAGCCTGGGATACACTGGAAGACTGTTGCTGGTCTTTGTTACTTTGTGGGGCTTTTTCCCTTTATTCCAACCCCCAGCCCCTTTTCACCCACTAACACTAGATAGGAGAGAAACAAGGATAGAGGGGAGAGGAATTAGGAAAATCCCTAAGTCTAATTTCTTTCCTTTTGTTTGTTCTTTGATTACAGCGAAACCAACCTCCCTAACTGAGGAACAACCACTGACACTCCCACTGACACCTGTCATGGCTCTACCATTTATATACCCTCTGAAAAGTTCCCAGAATTCCAAATGCCACATAATCACAGAAATTATCCGCAGGGGACAAGACCATGCCTCTGATAGCGCATACGGCTAATCATGGCTGCTGCGGACAGCCCAAAGCAATCCCATAACCCCACACCTGGGATTAAAACAAAAACATATTCTTACAATGTTTTTGAAAGAAACCAAAATTCAAACTTGTCACTACAAAAGAGTTTGTCCAAACAATCAATCCCACAAGTTAATGAGCACTGCTTGCACTGAATCTTGGTAAATTTCTACATGAGAGTAGAATTTTCATTTTTTAAAGTCATGGTTAACCTACATATATCCATGCTAAGGAAGCATTTGTACGTACTTTTCCGGGCTTTTACCAGACTTCATGACAAAATATTTACCTGGTAAAAGATACACCAATGTCTCCTTTGGAATAAATAATCCCTTGTTTGAACAAGAATTAGAATTTAACAAGAGCTAACTTCAGAGCAATTTAGCCTTTTCCATCAGATAGGTACCCTACCCAATCAATTAGTATCAATCCTAATCTAAGGGAAGATTATCATTCCCCTGTCCCATCTTTCTTGATCATTTGGAATCTTCTCCAATTGTTGCTGCTTTCATCATACACCCCTGCTAGTGGTTTGGGACAACCTGTTAGAAATGTGTGCCAATTAATGAAGGTGTCAATCTGCCGGGCGTAGTGGTGGGCACTTTTAATCCCTGTACTTGGGAAGCAGGGTAGGTGGATGTGTGAGTTTGAGTTCAGCCTGGTCTATACAGCGAGTTCCCAGTCCGGCCAATAATACATAAGACCCTGTCTCCAATAAATAACTGAAAGACTACCAAAGGCATATTTCATCCCAGCCATATGGCTTTAGGCAACGTTTTCCTCAGAAGGAAATTACAAACTCTGATGGGGGCTTCTAAAATCAAGAGGGTACCTGGGGTCTTTCTTCGCCACCTGTAAATGCAGCCCAAATAAAGGACCTTGTGTGATCAACTCTGTTAGGATCCAGAGGGCTTTTAAACTCTGGTTTAACAGGATCCTGTCCCGGAGGGGGAAATGCCTCTCTATAAATATTACTTTGAGGAAGACCTCTCTCTGTCTCAAGGGAAATGCCACGACGACCTAAAAGTGCTCATCAGTAACTGTCAAGGCTCGCTTTTCAGTTCGGCAGATTAACAAGTGGAAGAGAGAGTACAAAGGTGAAGCCGAGTACGCAAACATCCCCGACTCCAGTGGTTACAGCGTGGGGGGGGGGGGCGACAGTAAGTGCCATTTCGTGTAAGGCGACGTGCTCGGAGATAAGGGCTCCCAGAGGGTCAGAACCCCCCCCCCCCACCTGATGAATGAGCGGGTCAGACGCGGCCCAGCTCCACGTCTCGGATGGGGAAGCTGAGGAACGAGGCGGGGAAAGGACTCGCCGCTGAGAGTCAGAGCGGAGGACCACAGGACCCAGGGCGGGGGGTCATAGATGCCTGCTTCCCCCGCCCCTGCGATGGCGTAGACGGGCCTCCGCCCCTCAACTCACACACACACACACCCTCCCCGGGGAGCCGCGCGTTTCCTCGGGTTCCAAGGGCAGGGTCAAAACACAGGGCTCCAGAGCGCTCCCGCCGCGATTTGTAGCCAGAGAGCGTTGGGAGCGTGCGTGCCTCCGGTCCAACATGGCGGCGGCGCGGCCCCCCCCCCACCCCCAGCCTCCCTCAGGCCGGAGGCTCTCCCTCGCGGCCCTCCGCTGGGCGGGAAGACGGCCCGGACCCGCCGGACCCCCTCCGCCGCCGCCGCCGCCGCTCGCTGACGGAGCCACCTACCCGACATGACTAACAGCCGCGGCGCGGAGCCCCCACGGCCCGCGGAGAACAAGGAAAGCGAGGAGCCAGGCGGCGCGGCTGCTGGGGCTGTTCTGAGGGCGGCGCGCCTGGCTGAAGCCGACTGCGGGGCCGCGGCAGCCAATCAGCGCACGGCGGGCGCTACCACCGCGCCGGGGCCGGGGGGGGAGGCCGAGGCCGCTCCGCTCCGTCCAGCCTGGGGCTCCTCCCGTTTCCCCCCTCCGGGACGGTCCCATTATTGAGAGGGAACTGAGAAGGGATGGAACCAACGTCCCCGTGGGGCTAGGGGAGGAAGCCGGGCCGGCTCTCTCCGCGCTCTTCGCAGCCCCGGTTCTGGTTTTAGTGGGTCTGCTGGAATTTGAAGCCCCGAAGCTCCAACAGGAGGTGCTCCTTTTGGAAAGGGGAACCGACTGCCGGAAAAAAAAAAAAGTTGTTTCTTCCTCTAAAGTCGGGAATGGTGTGGCCTGCCTCGCTAGGGCTCTTGCTGCAGAGCTTGAACCACTTGGGGGCGTTCCGAGTCCGGGGAGCGCGCGGAACGAAAGTGGTGACGAGCTCCGTACCTCCAGGCTTGCTGTAACTGCCTGGTCCAGTATGAATCGAGGTGAGGCCACAACAAAAATGTGAGCTCAGTCTAGATCGCGCTCAAAACTCAACCCGGGAATAAGGCGGCGCGGGAATCGAGCTTCTTCAGTCCTGTATAATGACAGCTAACTCTTTAATTGTCGGCGTCTTACATCATCTCTTTTAATTCGCAAAACAGACTGATGAAATACTTCCTCCTGGTTGCGGATAAAGCCGAATATGCCTGCGGCTAATAAAGGCAAAGGTGGAATTTTGAAGTCCGGTAACCTGATCCCGTTGCTGAGGTCTTTAACCGTGAAGCTGTACAGTAAGCTCAGTTAGTTGGAGAAAGGGCTTGGAAAACTCAAGAGAATCAGCAAGGACATATCTTCGGGTGAGTGACACCTGAACCTACGCTTGGGCGATGAGTTAATCAAGTTGAAGAAGTGTGCAAAAGATCTGTCCAGAGGAGTTGTTGAACAAGTAAGTTGATAGGTTTGGAGTGTAGCCTCCAGGGGAGAATAGTAGAACATGCCAGAAAAGTAGGAGGCTACAAAGCTGAGGCCTTGTAGTTTGAACTTTGTCCCGAAGGTGGTGGATCCACCCACCAGAGAACTTAAGAAGGGTGAGATCAGATATTTTCCAGCTGCAGAATGAGGAACAGGTTGGAAATGAGAGGTGCCTAAGGGGGGGAGGGGGAGGGAGAGGGTGCGACTGAGATTATTGCTCAGTGATTACAGCCTGACCTAAAATGCTTGAGATCCTGGGTTCAATTCCCAGCATTGTCAAATACCTTTTTAAACCAGTCGAGGTGATATTAATCCCAGCACTCAGGGGACAAAATCAGGACCTCGGGGCCAACCTGGTATACATAGTGAGTTCCAGGACACACAGGGCTACAAACGGAGACCTTGCCTCAAAACAAAATAAAAACTGTTAAGCAGGGAGATCGCTTGAGTGGCCAGTGCAGTAATTCTAGTGAAAGAGATCATAGCACACTGGGCTCAGAAAGCAGCAGTGGAGGGAAGGGCAGAAGTCACAGGCACACCTGTGAGGAGATAAAAGCCTGTGCAAGGGGCCGGTGCAGGGAGTTCTAGGTTTTCTTCATGCACACACGGCCAGGTGGAGGTGCCATTCACTGAGATAGGTACAAGAGAAACAGATTGGGGTGGAGTGAAGAGATAAGTTCAGATTGAAACCTTCAGGTCAGAAAAGGGCATGAGGTCCTTTCTCCCAATTGTGCCCGTGACTGTGTAGACAAAGAATTACAGAAACCTTCAGACAGGCCTGAACGAGTAAGGCTAAGGTAATAAAAATTCTTTCATTAGTACAAGCTGTATAATTTAGCATCTGTATTGAGGAAAGCAACCCAGAGGAGAAGAGCTTGTACAATAGGAGTAGAGAATATCATTATTTATTCACTTACTCACCTAGATTCCCTTTCCTAAGGTCTGCTCTGTGTGTAGAACCTGGGAAGCCCTAGAGATAGATAAACGTAGCCACTGACCTCCCGAAACTGCAGTCACATAACAGGCATGGTGTAGACCTGTGGTCCCTACCACTTACTGGGCTAATTGTTCTAGGGTTGGAAGGTGTTGTAAAAATAGGACATTTCATCCATAGGAAGGTTGGTCATAAAGGAAAGCCTCCTGCATGAGGTACCTCCTAAACTGAGCTATGAAGGAAAAACAGGAATTAACCAGTGGGTATTTGGAGCAGAAGGGGTGAGAGCAAGCACTTTGGGGCACTATAAGTGGCCCTGATTGGCTTGTCAATACAGTTGCAGGGCTGAGGGATGATAAGAAATGTTGTGACAGAAGTCGGCATGAGTGCATGGAGATATATGTGTATAATCAATCCCACCACCCAGGAGGCCAAGGTGGGAAGATCCTAAATTTGAGGCCAGCCTGAACTGCAAAACTCTGTCACCAAAATAAATCAATAAATAAAAATTCAAAAAGGCAGAAGATACTTCTTGAAGGGCTGGTATGCTTTATGTAAGGATTTGAACATTAAAAAAAATTTTTTTTAATGGGAACTTCAGGGCCAGTGAAGTGGCTCATCCAGTAGTCACTTACTGTCAAACCTGAGAGCCTAAGTTCTGTCCTTGGAACCTGCATGGTAGGACAGAATGGCTCTTGTATAGTGTCATCTGATCTCCACATTCAGAAAGAAAGAGGGAGGGAGAGAGAGAGAGAGGTGGGAGCTTCAGACAAAGTTAATTTAGGAGTGACAGGTTTTTTTCTCTTTTAATTCTTTTATTTTTATTTTATTAATTATAGTTTATTCACTTTGTATCTCCCCTGTAGCTCCCTCCACCCTCCCCTCCCAATCCCACCTTTTTCCCACCTGTGCCCCTCCCCCAGTCCACCAATAAGGGAGGTCTTCCTCCCCTTCCCTCTGATCCTAGTCTATCAGGTCTCATCAGGAGTGGCTGCATTGTCTTCCTCTGTGGCCTGGTAAGGCTGCCCCCCCCCCCCCTCAGGGGGAGGTGATCAAAGAGCAGGCCAATCAGTTCCTGTCAGAGACAGTCCCTGTCCCCATTACTATGGAACCCACTTGGACAATGAACTGCCATGGGCTACCTCTGTGCAGGGGTTCCAGGCCATCTCCGTGAATGGTCCTTGGTTGGAGTATCAGTCTCAGAAAAGACCCCTGTGCTCAAACTTTTTGGATGTGTTGCTCTCTTTGTGGGGGTCCTGGACAGTTAGTTTTCTATATCCATTACCTCTAATTTTCTGGGCAGGCTTGTGAAATAAATATATTTGTAGGTGATAACCCTGAAACCAGGACAGGTGGGCACTTTCATCAAGTACATATGGCCAATGGGGGACAGAAACAGAGCTCATACCAGCCTTTGAACCATGGTCAGTGATCTCTGTGCAGTGCCCCTGCTTTCCAGACATGAAATTCCTCCCATGTCTGCGCTGTTACAGGTCCTTCTCCACCACAGATGGAGTCAGAGAGTGAGCGCCGTGCCTTTATGGTGTTTTTGCCTCAAAGATGAATCCAGCGGGCTATGATGAAACCTCAACAATCTCTCGTCTTCATCCACTTACACTTCACGCTGTCTCCTCGTGTCCTTGTGATGTCCACTCACCTGGCCCTGGTCTACACACTGAGAGAAGAGAGAGCAGGAGCTTTGCCCCTGTCTCTCTTTGCCCCTGTTTCCCATGACCTCACAGGAGAATCCGTCCTATGCAAATTGTGTTCTTTCAGTTCAGAAATCACCCCTTATCCCACCCCAACCTGGTAAGGCTGGGTGTTGAGTTAGCTGTTTGCTCAGCTAGCTATATGCCCTGGGTTTAATCCTCAGTCATGCAAAAATTATTTCAAATTAAAAGTTGCTTAGTTACGCCTACTAGAACTGGTAAGTAAGGAGCTGGGGAGAAAAGCATGAGGATCAGAGGTAAGAGCCCCAGCACTGATGTAAATGCTGAGCGATTGTGACGACCTTCCTAGAATCCCAGCACTTGGTGAGGCAGAGATCCCCAGGGCAAGCTAGCTAGCTAACCAGTCTAGACTAACTAGACTAGTCAAATCAAGTGAGCTCTAGGTTCACAGGGAGACCCTTGCTTCAATAAATAAAATGGAAAGCAATGGAAGAAGACCTCTGATTTTAACCTCTGGCCTCTTTGTGTAGCAATTTTCTCAGGGATTGAAACATCCTACCTGCAGAGAAACTTCTTCAGAAAACAAGTAAATAATTCCAAACTTCAGGAAGTCCCTGAAGCTGATTCGGATTCACCAGACCTTTCTTCCCTAAGAGTAGATAAGCAATAAAAGACTCCTGAGAATTGCTCTCAGCCAAGCTACAAAGGATTCTCAGGCAGACCCAGCTGCCTGGAAAAGGCTCAAGCTTACCCAGCCACCGGGAAAGGACATGCTCCAGCCTGTTGAGCGACCCGCAGGCTGTGCAGTATATGCCAGGTTTCCAGCTTTTGTGAGCTGCCATGCTAGAGTGGGTTTTGGTGCTGTGGCTGTCTTTGAGTCACTTCTGTTCCTGTAAGTCATGACCCCACCTCCGTATTCCTGTAAATAATCCCAACAGAAATCGTTGGTTCACCAAGTTGGACTTCAGTGTAGCCATAGGTTGGTCTGTACTTCCTTTCTAGGGTGAGTAAACGTGGGTGTTGTGTCTTCCCAGAAAAAGTCTGTCACACAATACCTCTACATATGCGTGTGGGCGCGCACACACACTTAAATACACATACCAGACAGATACACACAAACAAAAAAAACCCAGAATTTGTCAGTGGGAAACCTGATAGGAAATCAGACGGGAGAAAAAACACAAGAAGTGGAAGTCATGTCTCCGGGAGTTTGAAGAGCTTCAGGTTCCACCGGTGACCTGGGCTCTAGCACCTCTGAAGGTGAGGAATGTTCGGAGCCCTGATCTCATCAGCCCCTCCCTTCCTCTTTCTGGTTCATGGCTATGGTCCCGTTACCACTGACAATTGCTGAGTTGCCTCCGCTGCCAGGTTAGCTCCCCAACTCTTCCCCACTGAGGCAAGCCTTGCAAGGACACGCTAAGGACTGTGGGGTTAAGTAGGGTGAGAGGAAAAGCCTTCAAAAGGAGCTATTTGGGCAGAGGTGTGACCTGTTTGGCCAAGATTTCTCTGGCTGCTGTTTTGAAACTACAGTAGACCACAGGATGTACAAGGAGAAGCAGAGAGAAATAATTGCTCCTGCGAGATCCTGTGGCATTCATAGGCTCTGAGGCTCTATAGTTTCTTTAGTTTATTCTGTAGATATGTGTTGTATTTCTCCCCAAACCTATAGTACCACCACAATACCTAAAACAGTAGGCTTAAAAATTGTTAGGCATATTTATTTTCTTTTTTTTTTTTTTTTAAAGATTTATTTATTATGTATACAGTGTCCTGCCTGCATATGTGCCTGCAGGCCAGGTCTCAATATAGATGGTTATGAGCCACCATGTGGTTGCTGGGAATTGAACTCAGGACCTTTGGAAGAACAGTCAGTGCTCTTAACCATCTCTCCAGCCCCATATTTATTTTCATCCTATGTGTATTGAGAGGTTTTTTTTTTTTTAAGATTTATTTCTTTATTATTTATACAGTATTCTGCCTGCATGTACACCTGTATGCCAGAAGAGGGCACCAGATTTCATTACAGATGGTTGTGATCCACCATGTGGTTGGTGGGAATTGAACTCAGGACCTCTGGAAGAGCAGCCAGGTGCTGTTAACCTCTGAGCCATCTCTGCAGCCCATGTATTGAGAGTTCTGCCTGCATGTACGCATGTGCATTTCATGCGTGTCTGGTGCCTGCAGAGGTTAGAAGAGGGCATTGGATACTCTGCACCTGGGTAGCTGTGATTGTGAGCTACAGATGTTGGTGCTGAGAAATGAACCCAGGTCCTCTGGAAGTGTAGCAAGTACTCCTAACCACTGAGATACAACAGTATGTTTTGTTTTATTTTTTTAAAGGAAGGAAGGAAAAAAAAAACCTGTATGTGATCAATGTGTAAATAAGAATTCCACCACACAGAAATGACCTGCCTTTCTGGCTTGTGTATTAACTCCTCACACTAGAAGAGCTTATCTAGAGCTGTCCTTTGTCTCCCACGGGGCACAAGTGAGTGTCTCGGGAGTGTTCGCTGAAAGAATGACAGCTGCCCGATTCCAAGTACCACAGGCAGTATGTAGCCACTGTCAGCGCTCCAGTCCTTCAAGGGAGGTATCCCTGACACCCAGTTCCTCTGGCCTTCCTCGAGAGCAGGTCTCCCAGCTACAGCAGCCTTATAAAGGGCCAGGCTATCCCGTCCTCCCATCGTGGCAGGCGCTTCCTGTTTGGGGTGGAAGGGAACCAGACGCTTTCCTGTTCGCAGGTCTCTTAAGCAAAGCAGCAGATGCTGAGCAAGTCACAGCCCAGTCTTGCCGGCCAGATGCCTGGCGGGCAGACGGCCTTTATGTGGAAGGGAAGTGGGGCACGGTGCCAGACTGGCCCAGCTTTTATTGTGTTCCTCGCTCGTCCCCAGGGTCCTGGTGTGAGTAAAAAACAAACCAAGAAGAGCCTGATTCTTTTGATGAGCCATGATGTGGGATGGAGCAATGGGGCTAGGTGCCGTGGGTGTTCTGCAGTGTGCTGGAATATGAGCGGGCCCAGGTGGGGGAGCTGCAGTGTATGGGTGAGCACTGGAGCCTGTAGAAACCACAGCCAGTACTCGACAGGATTCAGGTCACTAATTATCTCGTGCACTTCTTATCACATGTCATAAGACGGAAAAAAAGACAAGAATTCTCTCTGTCCCACTAATTTGCAAAGGTCACACAATGGTGAAAAAGGCCATATTGGAAGCGAGGTCTGTCTCATTCCAAATGCCTGGGTCTTCCCAGGTCAAAGAGCATGAAGCAGAGACAGAGGCAAAAGTATATAGGCAGGTGAGCTTGTGAAGGTGTCCCAAGCTGAGAAGGCCATGTCCACTGTACTGGAGAGGGGTGACCTCCCTAGGTTATAGGCAGAGGTGATTGCTAGAAAGTGGGCCACTGAAAGCTCAGAGGCCATTGCGGTAAGTCAGGTATCTCCACTAAAGTGCTCACCACCCCAGGGAAAGCTTCTCCAGCTCACTCCTGCCTTTACTAATCCTCAGATTACCCCTGTTCTTGGGATTCCTACGCCTCCTATGAATGCCTTTCTTGGGAGCCCAGAATTCCTTCTGATAGAATCTACTTTGTGTTCTGTACACTTCCTGGGGAGGAGGAAGGGGTAAAGACAAAGCTGATTGTTCCTGTTATTATGCAGAGAGAAACTGAGGTTTAGCGGTTCCTTGTTCCACTTCTTGCCTGCCTTGACCTCTGCCAGAACAGAGGAATGGCTGCTGACAGCCACTCCCCTTGGCACAAAGCATGCCCAGGCCTGGCACGAGTTCCACAGTCCCGTCCACTCTGGGAGGATTGGGAGGCTCTAAGGAGCT